AAAAAAAAAAAAAAAAAAAAAAAATAATAATAATAATAATAATAATAATAATAATAATAATAATGATAATAGATACCAACTGATGTAGGATAGCGTACGAGTGAGACGATGTTAATGAGATCGCAATCTCAATAACACCTTACGATATCAATTCATATTTTCATTCATAAACAACCAAGGAACATAAACTAGAGGGAGTCATACAATTAATAATAATAATAATTATAATAATAACAACAATAATAATAATAATAATAATAGTCTATCCAAAACATAAATAACAATTTTGGTATAATAATTAATAAGCCATATTATGTAAATAATAATAGAAAAATTTTCATTTATCCTACAAGATTTTGAAAATATTACAAAATACAATCCATATATAAATAATTACGTCTCTACCTAATATGTAATATATAACTACATTAATGCCTAAAGTAAGTTACCATATTTATTCAACATCCATCCCCCTTTTTGTGGACTTGATTAAGAGAGAGAAAAAAAAATAACTGACTCATTTAATTCTTTAATTCACGCAGCTTGTACATTTTTTAATAGAGAGAAATAAAAACATGTATTGTAATTCATGCAGCCGCTAGGTGGTATATTTTGAGTTTATGTTAGTATATATTCATTATATGTTGCAATGAAAAACATGTCTTCCATCAAAACATTTTACTTTTATACATAGTATATATATATATAAGCATATTATAGCAGTTACATATATTCCCTATACAAACAAATCTTCTAATATGTTGAACATATATTGAACATATACTCCATATACACACAACATATATAAATAATTTACAAAAAATCTTCTAATATACTGAACATATACTCCCTATACACACCACATATATTGTACATATACTGTAGATATATTGTAGATATATTGTAATATACTCAACATCTATGTGCGGTCACGTAGATATATTTAAAACTGATGACTCACAGCGCTAGGGGCATCTGCGAGGTAGTTGTACATTATGTCACGGCGGGGCACGCTCCTTCTCGGCCTTGCGATTGCGGGCCTCGACCTCCTCGTCACAGCGCTGCGAGTGCTTGACGGGTTGAACTTGGGGCGGTTGGTGTTGTAGTGGTGCGATTTGGAAGGTGAGGCGGAAGGAAGCGTCCTTGTCGGTAGCGAGGGTGGCGAACGAGTCACCGCCGGAGATATCGAAGGCGGAGTCGAACGGGTGGTAGCCTCCGCCATGCTTGTATTCGGATCGAGCCTGGTTGTTGGGGTTCCGGGTCCAGTTGGCGATCTGACCTAGCTTCTCAAAGTGGGAGAAGAGGGCGAAATGGACATTGCAGGGGTGGTTGGGGACAGAGAGCGCGAGGGAGGCGGATTACGGCGGGCCCCAACCGTTGGGGTTGAACGACACGACGCCTACCTCAACGGCACGGCGCCTACCTCGAACCTACCGTAGTTGATTGGAATGCTACTATTGTTTGCCAGAGATCGGACAAGTGAGAATAGAGTTTTTGATTTTTTGAAATTTATGTTAGGGATTGGAACTTGGAGCAAAATAAAATCCTCGTGTGATCTTTCTTCCTAATTTAAGCATATGTTAGTAAAATTTGAATTCTAGTATATGTGGAAGTAAGGTGAGGTAATTTTGTATCTTTGTAAATAAATATTAATGAATTGTAATATGTAAATAAAATATATT